AATTAATTATAAAACAGCCTAATTCAGAGTAGACCCTGGTACATCAATGTTAATTATATTTTACTTTCACTTGATCCAATTAGATAAATAAAACTGAAATCAAGACGATTACATACCCAGTTATCTGTCTTGCGTGCCCGTCTCTCCAGTCCTTTCTGGAGCCTGTCTCCCACTCCACCTTGGAGGAACTCCTGAACCAGTTTCCGGGTGTATTCCAGCTCATCCTCGCTGACGATGGGTTCCAGAGCGGCCAGGTAGCGCTCACATGTTTGACTCAAGGGTGGAACAGGCAGCTTGGGCAGACCCTCCTGATGTGCAAAGGATCTCTCTGGGATCTGTGAGACCGGTCTGAGCAGGCGGCATGGCTTTGAAATGCCTGGCTGCAGCTAAAACACACAAAAGTGATTAGCACACACCTAATTTGAAATCCTAAAGAAGTGAAAACTTTTAGACTGCGACCAAATGCTTGTACCTGCTGTACATGACCATACTAAGTTCATATAAAAGGTATGTGATGATTACTAATATACCACAAGTTTAAGCAGATAGTGAAGTGGACAAGGTGTCAACAGACTTGTACATGAGTTTGGTCTAAACTTAGGATATTTAATACTTCAATGCTAATGAGTGAACAGAAATTTGACTCAAAGTTGCAAACTTTTAAATATGTACAAAAACATGGATATCTCTTATTATTCTGCCAGTGAAAAGTGACACCGAGGCAACTCAGTGAAGCAGTTCTGTTTGTTAGGAGCCTCAGGATTAGCTTCTGCAAAGCCTATAAATAGATTATTGACAGTGCAGAACCTTTGGGATGGTTGCTAAAAACAAACATACAGGAAAACTCAAAAGTCACCAGCATGTTTACATCTGGTTTTTAATATTAAATTACTCACTGATTTTTAATGCTCTCTGAATTTAGAATGGACAACATTAGATTTAACAATACTGTAAGTATGACGAGTAGCAACAATTACAGTAAACCTGATACTTCCTGGTGTTCAATTTTCCTTAAGTTCATGAAAATACATCAATGAACTTCCGGTGAGTATTATCAAAATAAAACTATTATAGCGGTGTTGCAGGATTTAAATTATTTTATCAATAAATGCTATTGTCAACATAAAAAACATAAAGATATGGGTAATATTAGGGGAGGGCACTCTATTAAAATGAAAGCAGTGGCTACACTATCGTTCCCAATGTCCCATTTAGCAACGTACGCACTAAGCTAACGTTTTCAGCAACATAAGCTAACTTTTACGCAAAATGTCACATTCACGAGCTGCAAAAATACAACGTTCCCGTAGAAAAATGCGCACATTCCACAGCACGCGAAGAAGAAACGTGAACTTTGTTTTGATCGATTCTGTCACTATGTTTTCCTGCGGCGTCACCGCCCCCCTTTTCTGTTTGATTCCGTAAACAGTAAACCTACCGTCAGATTTAACGAGAGGAAAAAAAAAAAACTCACCAAGACTCTAACAAAACTCGCCAACATTTTGTCAGAAAAACGCGCTGAAGCCTTTGACCGTCCTTGGAAAATAAATGGAAAAGCCTCGGACTGTCATATCTCAAGGACAGGACAGGCACGCCGTCTATTCTCAGCTGTCCGCCCCCCTCCCTGGTCCCAGCCGAGCAACAGAGCAGGTACGGATGAGGACGCCATATTGGTCGATGCGTCACTATGGCCGCCATATTGGAACGGGAAACATCAACCTGTAAAATCAGTCAAGATGAAGAAGGAGCCGTGCGTTTACCTGAGTTAAAAGTAGTTTAAAGCAGGGGTTCTCAAACTTTTTTGGGGTTCAGGGACCCCTTACATGGGAGAAAAAGTTTCAGCGACCCCCTCATAACCCTCATGTCTATTAAATAATTTTATTCAATTTGTCTCTTTAATGCAATTGAAATATTTGCATACCATTAATACTTAATACTTTTTAATAGTGTTAATACAATTTTTATACTTTTAAACATGGGGTATTTTCATTCAAGACACAATTAAGATTTTTTTTAAATTTCAACTTCCAAAAAATACAATTTTGAGAAACTTAACAGTATCAAAAATTACTTTAAAACTTTACCTTTTCGCATAATGAACATAATAAATGTGTTGCCACTTCTTCAAATTATTACAGAAAACTCTACATAAAACTGAACAGAATCATAACAGCAGTAGTCATACCAAGTAACAGGACTTCATTTATAATTCCTGCATTTTGGTATATTTTAACAAAAAATAAATAAATAAACAATTTTTTTATTTTATATTTTGACGGACCCCCAAGCAGTGGCTCGCAGACCCCTCGGGGTCCGGGGACCCAAGTTGGAGAACCACTGGTTTAAAGTTTATATTTTACAAACAAAATGATTTTTATTTGAAAATTGTGTTTACAATGGCGAACAGTAAAAAGTCTCTTTATTGTAGACAACGATGATTACGTAACACAATATAATTTATACTTAGTTCATTCATTCAACCTTTATTTATACAGGCGAGTGTCATTGAGCCATGGGGACTCATTTACAAGAGAGACCTGTTCCAGACAGAACATATAAAGTACAGACAACAAAACAGTAGACAATGACAACAATAAACTACAGTAAAAAAAATGCAGTCAAAATAAAAGTAGTGTATAAAACAATAAATCTGTGTGCTTTAGTACTTTGTATATGCTAAGATGTTACTAAGTAATTCAAGATTAAATAAGGTGTATTATTTTGGTAGAGCTGTATCTTTTGTTTAGTATATATCATCATCAACGTCATTGTCACCATTGTCACCATGGAGCATTATAATATCTACATGTACAGATGGCTCCCCCACCCCCCACTCCCATCAGCATGTATTAAAGCATGCTTTATATGCACACCTATAATATACATGCAGATGCCCCCATACAAGATGAAATGGAGGTGGGAATTAGGAAAGCTCTAGATGATCTGAAAGTTAGAATAACAAATCCAGTGAGTGTGACAGCGAGAATATATCTTTATGAATGAATTAAACAAAACATATTCAACTTCAGTTGCAATTCGATACAGTAGTCCCCCCACTTCGTGGCTCGACTGTCGTGGATTTGCTCTTTCGTGGTTTTTCTGGTATTTGAGGACTGCAACAGAACATTTTTTTATCAACTTCATCAAACATTCTTTAATGCATTTTTAGCGTCAGCATAAAAGTAGCTTCTGTTTGGTTTTTAAACTTGCAGAAACGCTATCACAGACTTAGTGGAGAAATGCAGGTACAGTACTCTAACTTCTTGTTCGTGAGATTCTTCTAACTTGCAGATAAAAGGGGGGATTTGACTTGTATTGTATTGTCATTTCACATTATCTTCGTCAATCACAAGAATATTTTTTATTAAACATTGGTTGCTAGTGTCAACATAAAACAAAAATAAAATCAGTAAATTTGCTTTGGAATTGTCAACATTCTAAATATGCTTTCCTTTCATTTGGGCTTTGAATGGGGCATCCTGAAGCATTTTTTGGGAGCTTAGCTTAAGTGACTTTTTCTGTTGTTATCTATCTGTACTGGACCTTTACCATCTTCTGCATAGGTCCGATGGATAGGTTAATCAGACACCTGTTTACATGTGCACATGTACCCATCCCACCCCTCTTTATTGCCAATGTGTATCTATTTACCTGAGGCAGACTTGTGCAAGCTTAACATGTCGCTTGAGGTATGGAAGTAGATTTGATATCAGAGAGTCAGAGATTCTTTATTGTCATTCGCACCTCATGTGCTACATGTGGTGGAGCAAAATTATGTACACAGGGTCCCAGTTACATCCAACAATAAAATGTAAAATAAAAACAATGATAACATCTAAGATATGAACTAAGAAAAAAAAACATCAACTAAAAATATACTAAGCACTAATATGTAGTGCATATTTCAATCAAACAGATCTTTGTGGGATTCTGACAAATTAGTGCTGCTGACTAAAATGTTTTAAAAAGGTCTGAATCTGACCTGCAGGCCACTTCTTGACTGAGCACACAATAAGCTACTATAAGTATATCATGGTCTAAAGTATGATTAGTGTAATTTATGAAATTATGCTAATATATTCTAATTATGACCTTCTAGGATATATGTGTAGGACAATAAAAAAGTGCTTCACACACTATATTAGCAGTTTTGAACAGTGTTTTATTATTTAAAAAAAATACAGTTGAAACCAGTTTATATATATATATATATATATATATATATATATATATATATATATATACACATGAATTTATTTAGATCTAATCTTACAAAAAGCACAACATAAATGACTTGTTTTGTCTGTGTACACATCAGACCCTTCCAATATGGCGGCGCTGTTGACGTACATGAGGCCCTCTAAGGGAGGGGCGGAGCTTATCGCTCTTCTTTTTTTTTCTTCCTAGTTTGCTCGTTTTAACAATACATGTCCTATTCTATTGTGTTATAGCTTTTGAATTCGGCTATAACAGAATAAATAGGCTTGTTATTATTATTATTTTTCAAACTGAGTACTTTTAGGCCTAATATTGAAAATTATGAAATAGCAAATTAATAAAACACACTTAAAATAGAATAGGGATGCAGACTGTTCTGTTATGATGCAGAGGTTAGAATGTAAAGCCAGCACATCCATGCTTTTAAAACAATATTAATTTTATTTATTTACCAAAGCAGGCCCTGAAGTAAACACATTTACAGCGCGAGACTGCGTTGCGCTGGTGCACGATGCTGTACAGATCATCACTGGCCACATGATGGCGCTCGTCCAACATCTTTCCAGAGAGACTGTCTTGACGAATTTCCTCAGGAAATACAAACCAAGGACAGACTCCAGCAGCCCCAAACGAATCACGAGAAAACACACATTTATTTGAATGTGCAGCGAGGACATAAATTGGCACGAGAAAAGTCAGTGTGCAAAAAGTCATACATGTTGTGGAGAACACATTTCAGCCATATTCTTCAGCAATAAGCAGAGAGAAGGAGAACTGCAGTCGTGTCATGGTTTATTTCAAAGCAACAAAGTAAACGTTACAACAACAACAACAACAATAAAAAATAAAACAATCATACAAAATCAAAATGCTTCGATTGCTCTGGTCCAGCCACTGCCTGATAACAGTGTATGTTTTAGGCAAATTGTTTGAGTGGCGAATATTTGCTCAAGGTCCGTCTGCTGCCAACTCACAAACTCAGACAGCCCACCTGATCCCAGCACCGAGATCAGGTTGGAGATGTTCGTGCTGCCCAACTGCTCCGAGTCCGCGTGGAGGTCCTCCTCACCCCGCATCCTCTTACATGGCACCGCTCCAAAGTCCGGCAGATAAAACTCCGGATCAACAATGTAATAACTTGTGTCCATCTTGCGCTTTTTGGAGTAGCACTGCGCGCCCTGCGGCTGTTTTGGCTGCGCGCAACAGTCCGAGTGGAAGTATCCGTTCGTGACAGTCGTCACCACATGAGTGTCCAAGTCCAGGACTGTCTTCTGGTTGGCTTGTGTGTTCGGGACTGTCAGCTCCCAGTTTGATTTGTCCGAGCAGCTCCAACAGGCTTCCGGCACCAGCAGGTCAGAGTCACCCGGTGGAACCATTGCGCAGGCGGCTGCGTCTTGGTGCGCCACCTCTGCGGGCTGGCTGTTGGTCTGGTGCGCTCCGCAGTGCCAAGCGCCCGACTCTGCCCCGGTAAAGTTGCAGTAGAAGTCATCAGCCAACTCCGTGAAGCTCCCAGTCAGCTCCAGGTATTCTTGTCTCTCGCGCACCGCCGCAACATCCTCATAAGGAGGCGTCCGCTGGGTTGGCGACGAGTCTTTGCTCATGTAAAACTGCCTGGCGTTTCGGAGAACGTACGTTACCAGCAAGTTCTTGTGGAGCTTGATGCCTCCTCTCTGCGTCCTGGAGCTCTGGATTTTCCTCAAAGAAATGGAGATCAGATTCTGTGCGTCAAATGCACACTCCATCCTCAACCGGGCCAGCCGTTCTCTCTTCTCAGGTTCTCAAATCGCTTGCTGGAGAAATATTTAGTTCATTAGTTGGAGATACCTTCCAGAGTCGCGCAGACTGTGTCCATAGCGCTCCATATCTTCCCAGTAAGGGCATGGATTTTCAACTCTCATCTTTCCTTGCCACGCCCTCACGTAGACATTGTCCAATGGGAGGGAGGCGGTGCTTCTGTTATACGCAAATATCACAACCGTGCTCATTGAAAATGCACGGAGCAGGCATGCTGAAACTGTTCAAATCCTGCAAATCTCAACAAAAAGCACTAGTTTTTGTTAGTTTCTAGAACAGCAAACAGATACACAAACAGATGGTCAGAGAATATGATGTGAAAAGAAACAAAAATTAACGGAGCAATAAGAAAAAATCCGTTGATGTAGATAAAAACAAGAATGCTGGTTCCCTTTTAGATAGGAATATTACACTGGATTAAAGAACATGACAATTTGAAAATAAAATATTTTAAAGTAGAAAAAGTAATAGATTAAATCAAACATAATAAAACAGAACAGACAATTAGTGTCACATGTGTCATATTTCAAATCTCCTGCAAAATCTCTGGTTGCATACAAATCCCATGCACAAAGAAAAGTCTCCAGGACTGAACAGAACTCATGCAGCAGCTCTACAAGAAGCTCCGTCCTCCAGTGTTTCCAGCAAGATGTTGCATAACTTCTATAAGTCTGAGATGGAGAGTGCAATTTTCTTTGCAGCCATCTGTTGTGGCAGCAGCATCAGAGACAGTCACTAAAAGAAAATGTACAAATTGATTTAAAAAGAAAAAGCAGGCTGTGTGCCGGCGACTGCGCTGGAGCCTTGATAGTAGAAAGAAAAATGTTGCACAAGCTCTGCAATATAACGGACCACATCACAAACCCTCTGTACTGATAAACCAGAAGAGTACTTTCTGTCAGAAGCTTCTTCAGCAGCTACCAAAAAAAAGTATAAA